TTGAGGTTTGCATACCTTGTTTCTAGCTGCTCGATGAAACCTTTGAAACTTCAGTTTAAAAATTTCTTTCCATCCATTTGTTTGTTCCCCCTCACCCCCTTCTTTTATTTTTTGCCCAAGTCTAAACTAAATTCTGACAACACAGCTCGTTGTGATGGCCTTCCCTTCACTCCAGATACCGTAATACTCCTCTTTCATCTACCATTTGTCCTTTTGTTTTATGGTTCTCTTTGTTGCAGCCTTCTTTGTTGTTTCTTCCAGATTATGCTCCTTAGGGATTTTTGTATCAGTATGACTGAACATTGCTTGCAGCCATGCCAGATTTTGCTGTGATCATATTGGATTTCACAAACCAAGGTTAGGCCAGGTCAGAACTTGGTAACATAGACTACAAGATTGCCTGCTGGCCAGTGGGAACACAACAGCAACAAATACCTGACCTAGATGCTGATTCAGTCAGTTCAGGCTGATAGTGTTGCCATGCTGTTTGTGGTGGATGTGATAGAAAGGAGAAGTTCTGTCCTGTTCTGGCTGGTAGGATTTCACAGCTTTTTCTTTTTTAATAAAAGTACTGATGTTAATTCCAGTGTTTTGGCCCATTCCAAATCCCTTAATTCTTTATCAGGATTATATTACAATTCAACAGAATATTATATTCTCTGATCTTCTTTGCCCTGTTTTCCTGATGAGTGAGCGACTGCATGGTACTTAGTTGCTGGCTAGGCTTAAACCATCATAACTGTACCCTTGTGTGATGTTTGCCCTCAAACCTTGCTCCTGCTGTCCAAAAAGCTCCATTTCTGTGCTGGGTGAAACAGTTTTGAAATTTTCTTTGATTTCCTGATCTTCTGATGCAAAATAACATTATACCAGGACCTTCAGATGGAAAGCTCCAGAAAGTTAGAAATCATTAGTAAATTAGAAAATTATAGTTGAGTTTTTCTTAGAGTTGCTTGAAGTTTCTGACAAAAGACTGTATAAAGATGACTATGTTCAGACTTTGCTTCACTGAGTGTAAAGTAGGTGGAAAATGCCATGAAATTATGCTAGAGTGCCCCAAATGTTGCAAAGTTTTATTATATAGATAAGGCTTTAATTATCATAAAAGTATTTGGACCCCTTTGTGTTGTATAGGAATAAGGTATTAAACCCCCTTAAGATAATCCTGTAAGAGGCTAGAACACTGCAAGTATGTGATTGTGTGAAATAAAGGCCAGAATTAATCTGAGCTATGGGTACCAACCTTTGTTTCATCCCACCCCGTGCTGAGATGACAGAGGAAGGACTGCTGGAGGGTTTGTATCCATACTGGGAAAATAATCATGAAGTTGAGGGAAAAGCAGTACAATCAGCTACAGATATCTTTGTGTGATGTCTTTCTGTGAATATGTAGCATTAGTCTGGGGTATGAAGTTTGTAATGTGTTGTACCTGCCGGAGCAATTTACTGTGGCAGGATGTGAAACATGACCAGGTGTGTACCCCCCTGGAGTATTTTAATATTTTGAAGGTTTTTTGTTTGCTTTTCTCAGTCAGTTGTCTGTACTTTGAGTGTCCAAGTCGTGCTCTTTAACTGAGTGAAAATGCTGAGCATGGCCACTTTCAAATCCAAGTTTATATATATTTCCACATAGAAAAAAATGGGGAATTTAAGAATGGAATAGGAAGATTAATATTGGACAAAAGTTGGGATTTGTAATCTGATTGGAAATGTTTGCTCGTTGCATTGAGGTTACCCATAATTGTTCTTAATAGGTAAATTATCTCTGTCTCTGATAATCCTGTTTGTTAGTGCAAAGCTGGGCACTGCCATCAGAGATATGGAACGTGTAGTGCAGAAGGCTGACAGGAGCCTTTCATCTCTTCCATCCCTTGCCAAGGGCTTACTGTACATGCAAATTCATCAGCGCTTCCATTATGGAGCATTTATATATCCCGGGCAGGGTGAAATCTGGTAGTTAATTGCTCTGTGCAGTCAGGGGGCCATTCTCCAATGGAAGAATCTGCAAGGTGGTACCATAGTGGCTGATGCTGCTGTAGCATTAATAAATATATAGGGGAATGTTCTGCAGAAGGGTATGGAGAGCTTTGTTGATGGATTCTTTTCCTACTTCCTCTGTCTCAGGAAGAGGCAGCCTGGCTAATCTTTCTTATGAAAGCAGCATGACTAATGTTTGCCTGCTGAACAGATAGGCTGGATAAGATTATATATATTTTTGCTGTTGTTTTCAGCTGTTATTTACAGGATCAATAAAAGTGATTTTCAATTCAAGGATAATTTTTTTACCAGCAAGCTGCATAGCCTCCGAGGTTGTAATATTGGATCTGCTCTTTTTCAGAACAAGTTAATTTAAGAATAATAGGTAGCTTTCAGTTCAGAATTACTTTTTCTAATAGAAAAGAGGGGTACAGCTGGAAGAAACACCTTGAGGGGGAGAGAACTTTGCCTCAGAACATCATTGCTTACACTGCCCACAAATACTTAATGATTTAGCTGCTTTTCTTTAAGGAATGATCACTTAACTGCAGACAATATTTTAATGACAAATGCAATATAAGAACAAAACGCAGAGCTGTTTTATTATAACCATAGTTCAGTTACTACTGAAGTCTGTGCAGATGCTTCTGTGGACTTTACTGGGTGTTGGCTGATACCCTCTGTAAAGTGCAATATAGTATTTTGTGACCATTGTGACAATACAATGAAATACAAAAGAGTATTTCATGCCATGGTGGAAGTATTCCAGGTCAAAAGCAAGTGTATTCACGCACACAAATTCAAGTGGCATTCATTCCTTTTGCATGGTTATTTTATATGATTCTTTTGTGACCTGTTGAGGAAGTCGCATAAGCATTACACGTGCCATGCATACACACACAGATACACATGTATTTTAACAGATCCTACATTCCTCCCCTCTGTATTTACCCTTTTCCTCCATTGCACACTTCAGATAGGAGACTCCATTCTAAAATGACTGTCAGTATAAGGCTTCAGTTCTGCCTCTATGGCTGGGGTAAGATAGAGCTGGAAATTAGTAAAACCATGCAGGTATTCTTTTATAAGCAGGAGCCCACAACTACTGTCAGTATGAATTTTACAGGGTAAGAACAAAATAGCCAAGAAATGTTCTTCCACTGGAAGCACTACAGATGAACGTGCCAGAAAAGTTGATTAGATTTTTAGATTAAAAAAATAATGCCGCTTTTTAGATCAAACTCAACCCATCCCAAGTCCCAGAGCATTGTCAACCATAAGCAGAGTCTCTCTAATCTTCCTGTACTCTAATAAGAGTAGGGCTTTAGGGTTTTTATTTTATTACCTATAAAATACAGTCTGTGGAAGCCCACATAAAAATCAGATGCTATTAACTTTGAGAGCTTTGGGTTCAGACCCAAAATATTGTGAGTCATCTTGTTCTATTTTTCTCAAAGTCTATGCATCCATACATTTTATTCATCAAGAAAGAAAATGATATGCATACTTTATGATTCCCCTTCCTCCTTTATATAAGTAAGGCATGGAGGGGGAAAAGGAGGCAGATTTGGTTTTGTTGGTTTTCTTTTAGACAGAGCAATGTGATGGTGAAGATCTCTTAAAGAAATGAAAGGTATTTTACTTTACCATGAATAGGGTAAAGTTTTCCTTTTTTAGATGACAAATTGTCTATAATGTTCCAGTAAGAATCTGGTTTTGGATGGCTGTGTTGCTGATGAGAGCTACTGGCAACAGAATCTTTCTCACACTCAAATGCAAGTTTATTAAAAGAATAATGGGAACAGATGTTTTCAATTCATAAAATGTAGCAAGTAAATGGTACATCCACTTGTTATTTCAATTCCTTTGAAATTTAGTGAACTCATTTAGGGCTAGCTTTTCAAAAGAGCTTATCCCACTGTTGGCTCATTGTTCTCAGTATAAACTGATGGATGATGAACGTGTTTGAAAACCACAACATTTCATGCCTAAAGGGGAGCTGCTAGCTACTGATGCTTCTAAAAATCTGGCCCACGTTCCTGATGAGTGGATGCTGATCATCATAGAGGATTCGTACATGCAATCTCTGAGTAATACCCTGAATTTGTCCGTGATTGTATATATGATGGCTTCTTAATTTACTGTTGCACTAGGCATTTTAATTCAAATTTTGCTAATACTGTAGGATTAACTGTAGATTATGATTCTAACATTTACTGTCATACAAACAGAAGAACCAGTTCTTTTGCTTCTGCAGTCTCTTCCTTCTCATCCTGATGTGTAGTAATTTGTACTCAAAACTGGCCTGAGGTTTTGATGAGGTTTCTTGTTTAAGCTGATGCAATTGCTTGGGGAAAGGGAGATATTGGAAATTAATAAAAGAAGACACTGGCATCTTTTTATCTTCTGATGACACATTTTCATGGGGCTGAAATGATTTACCAAACCATGATTTGTATGGGCTCTTGCCAGCATTGCACAGTGAGCAGTTCTGGTTTTGCTTTTATTACTCTGTGGTAGGATGGACTGCATCTCCTTTACTTTTGCACTCCTAGCTCAAACTCATACTTGAGAAAACGTGCTAGGAGGTTACATTAAAACCTTTGTAAAGGGTGAAGTATAAATAATACATGCAACAGGACTGAGACGTTATGTTGGTCTTTGCTAGAGGAAATAGCAGGAGGCCAATGCTGTTGCTATTGCCAGTACTGAAGAAAAGCTCTGTAGCAGGCTGAAATCGCTCTTACTGAAACATAACCTCTCCAGAGATCTTCTCCACTCCCAAACTGCAGATGTGCTGGAAACACAAATTTGCATCGTTATGTTTGCACTTGTTTCACTGTGTAGCAACCTCAGATTCTCATGGCATGCAGCCTGTTTGCATTAGTGACTTTCTGTTGAATTTATTGAATGTATCCCTTCAAGTCCCTCATTTGTTGCATTTTTGTGGAGTGCTTGATATTTCTAATGGCTTTGTGTTGCTATCTAAAATTTGCCTTTTTTTATTTTCTTTTTCCTTCCAGCTGATATTATTTCTACAGTTGAGTTCAACCACACTGGAGAACTGCTGGCTACTGGTGACAAGGGGGGTCGGGTTGTTATATTCCAAAGGGAGCCTGAGGTATGTGAGCTACCAATGTAGTCCTTAACTTGCTAAAACCTGGCTTTATTTTTAATACTTTGATTGGATCTAGCTAACAGACCTGTTTATGATCTCAAGATTCAGTAAGACAGAATGTCACCACTTTGGAGAGGAAGTGAATGTGGGTAAGGATCTTTTACTTGGAAGTTTGTTGATCCAAACACTGCATTAAAGCTCTAAAATGCTAAGCTAAGAACAAAGAAGGTTGATTTTGTTTTACTTCTACATCATTTGAATAGCTTTTGCCTGTTTGATGGAGCCATTCCATTTAAAACAATGCCTTTGCAGTGATATCTTTATGTTTCACATTTTCAGTACCTCTTGTAGAAAGCTTTTCTAAATAATTGAAGTTTCTTCAAATATGCTGCCTTTTATTAAATGTTGCTTCAATACTTAGAGGCAATTTCATTTCTGTAGACACAAATCTGTCAATATCACTTTTTGGATGAGAGATTAAATTAAACTTTTAATATTTTTATATTTATAGGGCTGCCTATGCACCTTTCCTAAGAGATGGAGATGTATTGCCATCATAAACCATATGTTTTTGTTGTTTTTATTCTCTGCAGAGTAAAAATGAGCCTTACAATCAGGGGGAGTACAATGTTTACAGCACTTTCCAGAGCCATGAACCTGAATTTGATTATTTGAAGAGCTTGGAGATAGAAGAAAAAATAAACAAGATCAAGTGGTTACCACAGCAAAATGCAGCTCACTCACTTTTATCAACAAACGGTAAGATAGATGAAAGGATGTAGGACATATCAGCCTATTTGCTTTTGTGCATTTTAGTGCTGACTGCATATATTTGTTCATTTTAATCTAGTGGTTTAGTAATTCTCTCTTACAGAGTTTGCCAAGACTGTCATATTGACTCTTATATCTGTTATTTATGTATTTTATTCATAGCCATAGGGTTTTTCCTAGTGATTATCCATAGTGAACATTCAGTGAACTATCAATTTTTGTTACTAACATGCAGTGCTATCCTGAAGTGTATTTTGTGACAAGGGCATTGCCTTACTCAGCAGCTATGTTTCACAGGGGATTTAGTGTTTTGTCTGCTGCATTTGTCATAACTTTTATTCTTCGTAGATGTGAAATGAATGCAGATAAGAGATTCATTTCTTTTTCTTTTCATTCATTATCATTAGAATGGTTGAGTTCTAAGGAGTTACACAAGTCTTTGGAAGGCAGTAGTAATAATGCTAGGATATTGATCCTGACTCATCTTTCTAGCATGCTTAAGGCTTAGTGATTAAAAAATGCAGTCGTATTGCTGAGAGGGGATATGCAGATGTAGCATAGCGGGAAGAAACTGAATGGAGGCCAACCTGTTCAGGTGTGAGTTAGGAAACATTTTGAACATATTGACACCCACAACCTTTATCACTGCTAATGAAAATAATATTTTAAATTTTAAATGTTGGATATAATTTTTAACAGAAAAGTCTTTTTCTTGTGAAGTTTGAGCATAATTCAAAATTGCTGGTATAGAAGTAGTGTGATCTCACTTTGTGAATTGATGCTGTAGAGCAAAATGATTAATTCCAGTTAAAATTTGTAGTAATAACTAATATTTACATTAATAATTAGTAAATAATTTTATGTTTTGTATTCTGTTTTCCTTAACAGACTTGTTAAAGGAAACTTTAACTTCAAGTTGTCTTTGGACTTTCAGGGGACACTGTTGCAATATTTGAAATGAAACATATCTGTTATAGCTACGTGATTTGAAAGATTAGATATCTACTTACAAAGTTTGGGAGTTTACTGCTGCACATTTCTCTTGGTCAAAATATCTGTTCTACTTATGACAACTTTAAGAACATCTTATTACAAGTGCAGGATACAAAATTAATAGAATCATAGAACAGTTAGGGTTGGAAAGGACCTTAAGATCATCTAGTTCCAACCCCCCTGCCATGGGCAGGGACACCTCACACTAAACCATCTCACCCAAGGCTTTGTCCAACCTGGTCTAGAGCACCACCAGGGATGGAGCATTCACAACTTCCTTGGGCAACCCATTCCACTGCCTCACCACCCTTAAAGTAAAGAACTTCCTCCTTATATCAAAGCTAAACTCCCCCTGTTTAAGTTTGAACCCGTTACCCCTGTAATAGTGCAGATTATTAAAAGTAAATATCTCCCTTTTAATTTTAAAGTTTGTTTTTGGAAACTGAGAAATACAGGAGGAGATAAACAAAGAAATAATCACTCTTAGTGTTGCTATGGCTTAATCAAGTTGCAGCCAACACTGTGCAAGCCTTGCAAAATACTTTGGTCTCTGTTTTTTCCCTTTCTTAATTCTGAAGCATCCCAGCAGACGTCTTTATGGTGAGGAGAACAGAAGTGGTGCCACTGGCGGAGTCTTTGGATTTGGGTTTGAATCACAAAACATTTTTGTGTGCCAAGGAGGATTCCTATCTTCCTGGCACAACAGGGTTGAAGTCTGAAGATTCTCCTCTTGGTATACTCTTAAAGATAGCTTTAAATTTAGGATACAGCAGGCCCATGCTGAATTCCTTGATGTCTCACAGAATACCCCTGAGAAGTCATTGACAATGTATATCAATTCCATGCCTATAAAAAAGGATAATAGTATTTTCCTTAACTTGTAGAGAATGAAGGCATTGCCATCACACATGCTAATATTGGACAGGTTGTAGAAATATCTTCAGTACTGGTTTATATTTACTAATTTCAGAGCTTTATATTTTAATGCAATTCCTGATATTTTGCTCTCCTGTAGTTTAGGATCTTAAGCACGGTTTTGGTCAGAAAAATGAGAACTGTGAAACAGCATCTTTTCTTCCCGCTGACACAGGTGGACATTTGCTGGAATAGGCACCCTCTGTTAGGGAACATGAGGGGAGAGTCCATCTAAATCTCATCCTCACTGTAGGAGAGTTGACAGGTCTTCTTCACCTGCCCAAATCTGTCCGTCCTTCTAAAATGAGAACTTTTGCTGAGGCTGTTTCTGTACAGGTCACCTCTCTCAGAGGAGATTTTGGTTTCTTTCCAGTTTGTGCATTACCAGCAAGTCAACAGCTAAGCTTTGATTGCAACAGAAAGAAAGCACCGTAGGTTTCAAATCCCACTGTGGATTTGCACTGCTTGCAGCTAGCAAATTTCTGGTTTGCACTGTAAACTGAACTGATTTTGTAGTATAATAATAAATTATTAGGATTCGTTGGTATCTTTTGTCGCAGAATATATTTGGGACGCTTTCAGTGTGAACTACATGGGGTAGATCAGAATTTGGCCTGTACAGATTATTTCACCTGAGGATTTGAGACTCCTTACCAGACATTAATTAATTTAAACTTCGCAACACCCTTGAGACTGAATGAATATTGAGCCTTAGAGATGGTTCTATGTTTTGCAAAATATAAGCATGCTCAGAATTTCTAGGGAGTATTTAAAGTGCAGAGGCAGATGAAAGACAAGAAAACCAACGCATGCAATACCTTCAATCACTAATGAAACAGGTCTCACTCAGGAAAGGGAAGGGTTTATCAATAGCAGTTAAGTCCAACAATGTGTTTTTTCTTATAATTAATCTTACAATTGCTGTATTTATACATTTTAGAATAGATAAACAGGAATACACTGTTTACATGTAACAAAAATCCCCCAAAATGCCAGCCGATATGTGTTTTTATCCATTAATTAAAATGACTGATACAAATGGAACGTATTGAATGTTTAAATGGAGCGTTTTAGTTGTGGATTGAACTGATCTCTTGTTCTGTAGATTGATCAATTGTAATGTTTTTGTTGCTTGAAAATTAACGTATTGATATTGTTAGTAGGTGCATAATAGTGAAAGCCTTCAGAGTACCAGAGGGATTGATTTTGAAACAGAAAAAGGTCAAAGTTAAAGTTGCCATAGAAGTGCAAAGCAGTTCATGTATTCATATGTCCTGCCTTTAAAATGATTTGTATTAGCATTTGAAAGAAGCATTTGGATCAGCTACACTGGAAAAATAATTATTCTCTGCTGTGTACTTGGGTAAAGAGGGGAAAAGAAAGAAAGTGGGATGAAACCAGACCTGATGCAGAAACTGAGGCTAATGAAGGCTGTGGTGGCAACTGGAGTGCAGAAGCTTTGGAAGGGTTTTGGCTACCCCATGAACAGATGAGTTAAACAACCATTGGAAGTTTGGGAGACATTTTTTTCATTACAAGACTTGGCATTGATTTTTTCAGTCTAGGGAGTGTTAGGGTTGGCAGGTTGGGTGCATGTCCAGAGGGGACTGGACGATCAACGTTAGGGAGATCTGCGTTTCAGCTACTACAAAACCAAGGACAAACTCCATCTGAAATGTTTAAAACTTCTTTTTGTCGGCTTCACAGGCTCTTTGCTAAGTAGAGGCATCCTAATACTATGTTTCACCCATCATGAAAAAGGGAGAGTTTAGATTTAATTCCATTCCATGTAAGATTAGTGTATTTTTCTCCCAACTTCTCTTCCTTACCCTTACAATGCAATTCTCTCAGTTTGTTTTTTTCCTTCAGTTCTCAACTGCTTTCCCTTAGGAGGGAGAAATGTCTCATTTTTCACACAACCTTTCATTTGCTGGAGCTCATGATGTTACCCCAGTTTATCACTGCCCATTCCCACAACAGGCTAGGCAGGTATCTGTGGTTTGTCTGTCTACTCCATGCTCTTCTCATGCTGTTCATAAGTAACCTAGCAAACTGGCTTTAATATCAAGATTATTTCCGTGCAGTCAAATTGTCAGTCTGAGCTTCAGGAGTGAGCACTGAGAGGTTTTTGTCTGTTTCACCTGTAAACTGCCAAGTTGGATACATGAATGGCTTTTGCTCTACGTGGTCTGTCAGCTGCCAGGAGCCTCTGACTCAGTTTGAAGGTATAGAATGTGCCCTATGAGTATTTTTTCTGTTGGCAACATTTTCTGGATGTGCAAAACTAAGTGATCCAGACTTTAGCACAGGACTTGTCTAAACTAAGGTGCAGAATCTGCTTTAGGGAATACATTGTGAAAGGTGAGTAACCACATTCAGAATTCCTATGCTGACAGTTGTTTTTCTTTTCTTTTGAAGATAAAACAATCAAATTATGGAAAATTACTGAAAGAGACAAGAGACCAGAGGGGTACAACTTAAAAGATGAAGAAGGGAAACTTAAAGATCTTTCTACAGTAACATCACTGCAGGTAAGCTGCTGTCTTTGCCCCAAATCCAGTTGTTTCTGTACAAACGTGGCAGTCATAGGTGCTGAGTAAAAAATATGTACTTAATGCTAATATGTAATTATTCTCATTGAAGTTTTAGCTGACTGATCTTGAATCTGTTGCACACTTTCAGGTCACAAACGCTTTATGGTATCATGACTAAAACAAATACATGTAGAGAGTTTGTCAGTTTTATTCTTACTGACAATATTCTCTCAGCATGAATTAATGTACTTTCACACAGGATTCTTCAGCCTGGTGTGCTGGAAGCATTCTACCTGTAATTAATCTTAAACAGTATTCTTGCCTCATTCAGAGCAAATGAATTAAAGGCAGTACCCCAAATTTCAGTCACATCCTTATTTCAGTAGTATAAAGGAATTTTCTCCTATTTGAGGTTTGCAGTAGTCTGTACTACAATGAACATGCGGTTCCGCATTGCTGAACAGATCATAGAATCATAGGATGGTTTGGGTTGGAAATGACCTTAAAGGTAATTTAGTTCAAGCCCTCTGCTATGGGCAGGGACACCTTCCACTAGACCAGGTTGCTCCAAACCCTGTCTAACCTGGCCTTGAACACTGCCAGGGATGGGGCAGCCACAGCTTTTCTGGGCAACCTGTGCCAGCACCTCAGCACCCTCATAGTGAGGATTTTTTTCCTAATATCTGATCTAAATCTCCCCTCATGCATTCTCAGATGCAGTCATGGAACTCATGTAAGTGTATATGATCATAGAATTATTTTGGTTGCCAAAGACCTTTGAGGTCTTTGAGTCCAGCTGTAAACCTAATACTGCCAGATTCAACTCTAAACCATGTTCCTGAGTGCCACATCTTTTAAATGCCACCAGGGATGATGACTCCACCACTATTCTGGGCAGCCTGATCCAATGCTGCCAAGTGAAGTGATTTTTCCTAATAGCCAACCTAAACTTCACCTGGTGCAACTTGTGACCATTCCTTCTTGTCCTATTGTTTGTTACTTGGCAGAAGAGACCAACACCCCCATGATAATGTAATAGCTTATTTTTTCTCAGACTTTAATGGCTGAATTCACTCAGGTGTTTTGGCGAAGAAATTAGCTAAAGGTTAGAACTGAAAGGCTACATTGTATAAATGCTAGTATTTCTTTATTATTAAAACCAAACAACTAAACCCCATCTCCAATACTAGCCAGTATTGTCCATTGTGAAAAAAAGCCTCCAAAGTGTAAAGATGACTACATTGATGAAATATTTATCTGTTCTGTATGATTAGGCAGACAATTCCAGATTGCTTATAGTCTGAGAATTCAAAGGCTGAGGGAATCATTGTTTTGTTCCTTTAGTGGCAAGCTAAACTAAAGGTTTAACTTCTCTGTGTTCCTCTTTAAACTATCTTGTGGACTGATACATGATAGGTCGTTTCTGTTGCATGCTCAGCAACATCATATAGTCTCAATCATGGACTACAGCCTTACAGTATTTACTGCTTTACCAATAAGTAATAAATTGACAGCTTCTAGTTACTGAAGCAAGATATTGCAGTGAGACAGAGGGAAATAATGAGGGTACAATGATGAGTGATAGTCTGTGGTCTTCTTTTTTTCCAGGAGTGTTTATGTACAGTGTGTCAATTCACTTGTTGGCTTTGTAATCCAAGGCTTCATTTATTATGCTTTGCTGAGATTATAACCTTTACACCGCTTTTCTGAGAAAGAGACATCAAGTACCAACAGAAATGCTCTAGGTGATTTACAGCTAACAGCAAACTCTTTAGCAGAAGCAACATGCTACAACTTTACTGCTTGTCCAAGCCAGAGCCTCCCACCTGTGTGAGCGAATAGCTCCTGCTGTGAGACAGGGCTGTTGTGTGGCAGCTGCCAGTGCCTCCCTTCCCACGATCCAGGCTTCCCATTGCTCTGCCTGGCTTTCCATGGCTCTCCTGTCTCTCCCTTTCTCCTTGGCAGGGATGGTCTTCCCAGCACTCTTTCCACAGAGAAATTCACTGTGCATACACTGTGAAGAAGCTTTTTTAATATCACAGTTTTTGAATGCTTGCTCACCATTGAAGCTCTCATTATCTTAGGAAAAATTACTTACAATCTCACTCCTTTTCTGGTTTGTGTTTCAATTTTTTTGGCAGGTGCCTGTGTTGAAACCTATGGATTTGATGGTAGAAGTCACTCCCCGGAGAATCTTTGCTAATGGTCACACCTATCATGTCAACTCAATATCCGTCAACAGTGACTGTGAGACATACATGTCAGCAGATGATCTCAGGATTAACCTCTGGCATTTAGCAATCACAGATAGGAGCTTCAGTATCCTTTATTGTGGTTCCTTGCTCATTGTGGGTAGTATTTTTCTGCAGTTTTTAAAATATACCTTTACGTATCAGAATCCGTGCAGTATTTGTAACAGAAAATGCTCAGGTGCCATGAGAAAGCTAAGAGGTTGCAAAAATCAAGGAATTTTATGTGAAAAATAACAGTCTTGTAGTTGATTAATGACAGGTAAATAGGAAACTGATGCCAGCTGAATGGTTACTATTCAACTGACTAGAAGATTGTACTGTTGTTCCTGAAGATATTTCACACTAATCTACTCCACCTTGTTTTGCTGCAAGGTCAGTCCTTACTCTGACTTATACCCCCTGTTCTCTATCATCCTGCTCCCCAGAACGTAATGCCTGATATGAGCGCAGTTTGGAGGTATGGCTCAGCTGCTCTGTGTGAGTTACTGTGTCTGTGATTAATGCAGTTATTGCTGTATCAAGTGCTGGCATCATCCTGAAATCTGTCTTGTGGGATTGTTCCAGTCATCGGTGAGTCTGGCCCTTGCATTGCACCAGGGTGGCTTGGGGGAGAAGCAAAAGAAAATGTAGCCAAGAAAAGCAGTCCTCTGTGTTTTGCAGAACATTAAGGGACCAGAAAGAAGAGAAACAGGTTATGGGGACAGCTCAGAATGTTGTGTTCCTTTGGTTGTTACTTTTTAGCTGTTTCAGAAGGAGTTGGAAGAATATTTCTCAGTAGATTTGTATGAGGGACTATTAGACATCAAAATGAAGTTGTCCTGCCGGGGAAGATTCCTAAAAGATAGCTCCAGTGTGATGGGGTGTTCTCCCTGTCTCTGGTGGTTGTTTTCATTTATTCCTTCATAGGCTGTATCATCCGTGGAGCTTAACCCATGCTTTGTTAGTGTCCCAGGGAACATTTTCATTAAATCAAACGACTCTTAATGTCCTTAAACTACCTTTGCAAGGTCAAGTGTCAGTGCCTTTACTCTGGGGATTTTAGGGAATATCTCCTCAGTTTGGTTCCACATTCATATTCTTTTTCTGCCTTTCTACCTGTCTAGATAGGCAAGCTGAACAGTACCCTTTTTGATATGACTGCTCATAAAGGATGAATTTATATGGGGTTCTTCAAAGTCCAACTATGTCTGCCTTCAATACCCAAGAAACTGTACTTCCATTCTTTACTAAGAGAGCACAGACTGGGGAAATGGTTTGCCAGCATGCCTGTATGGAGCAGCAGCATGGCTCCTGACAGTATCCTCCTCACTGTAGCTTCACCTTCCAGTCTTGTCTCTGTCCTGGGCACTTTTATGCATAATTACTGTGTCTTCTCCTCTACTGTGTATCCTCCTCTTTCTTCTAAAGCAGAACAGTGAGTCAGACCAAGCACAGCAATCTCTGTATGTCTGTATGTGATACCAGATCACATTCCAAAATATTTATGCAAGATAAGCCTTTGCTTTTGGCCCTCCCTTTTGTGTTAAAAGCTGTTTTATAAAATATGGATTGCCAGGGGAAACACCTCTGATGAGTTTTAAAAAATCAAACTGTTATTATAGTTCATGAGGACAACATGAGTTTTTATTGTCATTTGCCGTGCTGAGAGCTTTCTGACAGAAATACCATACCCAAATTAATCTTTAAACCCCAAATGTGTATAAATCCTTGAAAATAAAAGGCTAACTATGGGAGCATTGGAGCAATCAGTACAAAATATTGTGATTATGATAGTATAAAATAATTCTTGACGTTTATGCAGAGGTTTTTATCTTCACACCCTCTATATATGTTGATCAGTTTATCCTGGGTTCAGGACAGAAAGTTAAGATGCTGGTAGACAGATGAATGTGTCTACTATTTTGAGGATGGAAAAATTGAGGGAGAAATCGCTTATGAAAACTATAAATTTCATAGACCAGATTAACATTTCATTTGCCTTTCTTATGAAAACACTTGTATGCAGGCTTCAGAAGCACTTGGTCTCCAAGGATGTTTCCAATTCTAGCAATACACTAGGAAAGAGCTGAAAAACAGACTTAGTTTTACGATCATAGCTCCTACCATATGTGTGTCTTGATGGAACAGCATGGGTAGCAAAATTATTTGAGACTGAATAACTGTGTAGGCTGTTACTGTTTCTACTCCTGCATGTTCCACTGTGATCTGCTTCAAGCATTAGCACACTGTGATCATCAAATATTTACTGATAAAAAGTGTTTTAGAGTTTCTGACTAAATCATTGATTTAACTCTTAAAACATGCATTTTATAGGGACACACTCAATTTCTTAGTATGAGTGGTGATGAAGGGGAGATTAAAAGGGTATTTCTGAGTTTTAGGGTAAGATTCTTTTCCTGTATCTGAGACAATGGCTTTGGGATACTTACATGGATAACTTCAGAATAACTGGATTTCTATCCTGGATTGGCATCAGATATTGCTGCTTCTTTTAGATACACATGAATGGACATCTGGGAGGACTGTGATAAGAGAGTTCAGGTGATAGGAGAACACCTAAGTCAGGGATGATCAGTGCTAGGGGCAAACAATGCTTGCTAAGTTGGCCGTGGTAGCAGCACCTTGACTTTTGTGGCTGAATACCATTATGTACCCGTTATGTACTCAAGGGAGTAGACTGAGTTAAGTAGGTGGTATCCACTTCTGTTTCAGACAATATCTGTACTCTATCTGTACTCAGTTGTCCAAACAGATCATCAGGCAGATTACTTTTACTTATTCCTTTCATAAACAGAATATAGGTGATAAACAGAGTTAGGTGTTCCAAGAGAATATGAAGTGGTTACAGAATATTGCTCATATTGGGGAATTAACTGGGAGACTGAAGTAACTGGATGAAGGGAATGAGCAGTTAAACTTGCATCAGTCTTTCCACAAGTATCTTTTCATCCATATAGAGTCATATAAGTCCTTGAAAAAATTGCAGGGGCATGTTTTCCACTAGATTTCAATATCTGTCCCATAAGGAAACTGCATTTCTGTCCTATAGAATACCCAGGTAAATAAAACTCTCCTGGAAGTAGTTGAGCTTCTGGTAAAGACATTGGGTGTCCTGGTTGCAGTTATGACACACCAAGATGAAAAATTTCTGCCAAGCAAACAGTTTCAATTATAAATGAATGTTGCTGGGCTTGGTGCCTTCTGCAGCTTAAGGGGACAGGCAGGAGGAGGCTCAGACAGTTCTGAAAATGCTTGCTTCACATCTTTTTGATAGATGCAATATGGAAATGAAGCATTTGCTGGTTTACATGCAAGGCTTTATTCCTTGAAATACATGTTTAAAACAATAAATATAAACCATTTTGGGATGAAGTGGTGTTTGTTAATAAGGGATCTGGCAGTGATGTGTGTTTGTCTTTCTATTTTCCCTCAGAGGCAGCACTGCTACATATAATGAACTGCAATCTGTTTACCCAAGAGGCTGGTTGTGACAATGACACAAACAACAAACACAGTGGTAGAGTTTCTGGACATTCAGCTCATGTTTGAACATCTTTACAAATTGCATAGGAAAGGCTGGAGAAAGAATGGAATAGCAGCAGTATGTTAGGGTGTTTTTCAAGTAAAGTACTTTGTCTTGTCGAATTTGATTTGGGAACAGTTGGGATATAATCATTATTTTAGCAGTTTTACAAATCACTGAAAATTGTTCATTTCTTTGAAGACAAAAAGACAAAGTAATGCAGATTTTACTTTCATTCTGTCTTCTTTTGAAAACATTCGAAATCAGCTCTGCAGAGTTTGACCAGAATACTTGCCTTGGGTAAAGCCTTAGGCAAATAAAAAACAATTAGTGGTTTCCTGGTTTGCTTTTGTATTAGCATAAACAGTAACTGGGGTGAAAAACAGACAAGTGAGTTTTATGCTATGGCTGTGTGAATTTTCATGAGGAATATGCAAGACTTCTCTACATTGCTTCCCACTTGCAAGCAGATTTACTCAGTATCATTTGGGCAGGATGAGGTGAGAGAAAAGGAAGGGGGAAAGAAGGTCAGCTGGTAAATAATGAGCACATATGAGGCTTTTCTTTGCTAAAAGGTTTAATGTGTTTGGTTGTGTTGCAGAGAATGAGTTGAAGTCCTTAATTATGGATTATATTCTTCACTGGAAAAGAAGTGAGGTAAAGGTTACCGTATTTGTTAATGTTCGGTCTGAAAAGACTTAGAGTTGCCCATAGCTTAAGCCTTTAGGTAGGTCATCTTGCGTGTAGTGAATGAGAAAACAGGACTGCTGGAAGCATACTGGTAAGATTTACTTCACATCAGCAGCAATCTTTGGACAATCTAGCTGTACTAAATATTCTTTATGAGAATGTATTTGGATTGCTCACAGAACTATGTAGCTCATAGCACTTGAACTCCCTTCATTTCCTGGTAGCACACTATTTCACTCCAGAGGCTGTCATGGCATTGCTATGGAAACAGCATCACCATTTCCAGCATGTACTCATCTTGAGACTCATCTTGACTAAAATACTCATTTCTCAGTCAGATCAATATAGTCCAGGGTTATCCTGTTTTAATAAAAATTTCTTTCTTCTATGTCCCATAAGGGTTAAGCTAATTAGCAAATCACCGTAGGGCCTTCGTACAGTGTAATGTATTCCGGTATTTGAAGCATATCATGGATAGTCAGATCATTAGGCATCATATCTTGGGGAAATTAGTAGTTGAGAAGTAAACAACAACAAAAAAGAAAAGAAATAGATAAAAATCCCACCCCTCACAGTGCACTGATGGAGACCAAGTCAGTGGCAGTCCACTGCACCCCTGAACATAGGTCATATACAGTGATGTGGGAGCAGCCTGCAGGCTAGGGATGATAGCTAGCCTTCAAAATTCCTGTTACCCGCTGCAGGGCTAAGCATTTGAGTGCTAAACTGCAAGCAAATCTGCTGTGTTCTCTTGGCATTTGTGGAGCTGTAATCTGGCAAGTTTATTATTATTGAGTGAGATACAGTTATTTCTATAAAAAAATTCCTCAGCCAGGATGACTGTGCACAAGCTG